AGAAGAGAAAGAACTGGAGAAAATCACAAAATACAAAGACCTGCAAATAGAAGTAGAACAACTACAGCAAAAGAAAGCAAAGATAGTGCCAGTAGTTATAGGTGCCTTGGGTGCAATCCCAAATCATCTGGAGCACTCCTTGAACACCATCGGCAATGACAAAATCACCATCAGTCAATTGCACAAGGCACCTTTACTTGGAACAGCTTTGATCCTGCATCAATACCTTTAATACCATCAAACAACAACATCTGCCTTTCCCAGGTCCTTGGAAAGGACTCTATAGGTGGATAAAAATGCCAAATCCAGTCAAAACATCTGGCTGACTGTGCAACCAACAACAATAGTAATAATAGTTTAGATTTATAAGACCCCCAAATCACAGAAACTATCACCCCGGCACAAAAAAGCATGTAAACTTTTGATTACATTCAAAAGATGGTAGGATGAAGCAAGTCTCCACACAAAAGCCAAATTTTAGCCTTGATGTCTGCAGGTCCAAGACAATTCAGAATGTAGACTGTAGACTCAATGCAGTATTTGTACTAGATATAATTAGAGTCAGATTACATTTAGTATTCAGGCAACCACAACCACAATGGCTTGATTCCTACACATACTCATCCCAAACATAGTTTTACATATCATGGAATATGAATTATAGAGTTGGAAGGAACCACAAGGTTCTTTTAATCCAACCCTCTGCAGTTTGCAGGAGAGACCATCAAACATCTTACAAAAGTGGTTGACTGGACTCTTTGTTAAAAGCCTCCATAGATAGACACTAAAACTCCATAGGTAGACCATTGCACAGTTGTACAGATCTTCCTGTTCGGAAGTTATTCCTTATATTTAAATGAAATCTAGGAAGCTGCTACTTAAATCCACTTTTCTTTCTTGCCAAATGAGTTTTAGGGTTCGGGTTCTCAGTCAATGGTTGACCATTACCTCTGCAAATTTATGTACCCACGCCAGAATCACAAGGAAATTGCACCATCTGATGATGCCCCCGCTGGGCAAAAACTTTTTGGACGTGAAATGTTTAACACTAGTGGCAGGCCAGAAAAAGGGACAAGAAGCATTGGTATCTGCTTTGGGTGTGAATGAAAGAAAAGAATGAATGAATGAATGAATGAATGAATGAATGAATGAATGAATGAATGAATGCATATATGCTGTGTGTGTGTTTGTATATATGCATTCACATTTTATATGTGTAAATAAATACAGATAGGCACACACACACACACACATGCAGATTTCATTTCAGTCTAGTCCCAACCAACTCTTGTTAGGCATTATTTGTGTGGAAATAGCCAGTGCTTTCATAGTTTATCCAACCAAATGCAAGTATTCCATATTTCATCAAAAGGTGAAGAAAATGGAAATTGAGCAGGTTAAGTACACCGTATGACTATTCTTTCACTCTCTTTCTCTCTGGGGGTACTTTTGCTATTCCTGGAAGCCATGAAGTGAGATAAAATTAGGAATTAGTCCTTGACATTCAGGGAAGAGAAGTGGTGCTTTCCACATAGCTGCTAAAAGCACAGATAGTGTGGCTTTTCCCATCACGAGGGCACAAGGATGAAACAGACACTTATTTGCTCGCTTGTTGGTTTACTTCAAACATTTTAATCCACTCGAGAGTGCTCAAGCAAGCTAGTAGCTAACAGCAAACATATACAGACAATTTTTAAAAATGTAAGCAAATAACTAGCACATAATCGTCAAAGAGCGGCAATAATAAAAATTCACAAGGCACAGCAGAGAGGAACCTTAGAAAGCAAACTATTTCTCCGATTATAAGTCATACTGTGGTTTGTCGGCTTTTGGCTTAGTGTGATGAGAGAATTCTGGTTTGTAAACTATGGTTTGTGGCTTAGCAGGCCTTTTTTTGAGTATTGCTTCCCACCTAGCAGATAAGGCTATGGTACCTATCATGTGATGATATCCATGGAGGGGCAATGTTTGGCCCAGTAGGATCATTTTGGGGGATTAAAAAAAAGTAAAGCTGGTATCTTAAGCCTACTGGAACTTTTTTTTTTTTTTTGACTTGTCACCAAATGTCAGTAGTGTGGTTTTGAAGGACTTTGGGGACTGCAAGAAGCAGACTTGGGGGTATATATTGCCCACCCCAGCAACAATACAACAAACTGAGCTGTAAGATTCTCTTCCCCAGTCTGATACCCTTGAGTTGCATCAAACTGCAAGGAGCTCAGCTGAGTTTCCTAAGTAAATATAAAGACTTTGGGGAAAACACAACTGAGGTTTCCAAAAATAAGACACTCTGGAGAAGAGATTAGGTCTATATCTGCATCTTCCAATTCACACAAAATAAATCTGTTAGTTATATGTAACACGTGTATAGCATGAACAAATGTCTGGCTATGTTCACAACACTTGTCTAGCCAGGTCTCTTAAGACCTAGAAGCTTCACGTATCCAGCTTTCTAAATTTGCTTAATGTCAATCTTGGTTAGGTTCAGTGGCATCTACAGGGGGAAACAAAAAAGTCCAGATGGTAGTTGTGACACATGACTGAAGCCTCACCCTCCCTATGCGCACGTGCAGGAAGGAGGCTTCAGTCGCTAGCATTTTGACTTTTTCACTCCCTCCCACTCCCGGTTCAGTTTATTCTGAGTGAGGGTGTTGGGCTCCCTCATCCTGATTTATTGATCCTATTTATTTATTTACCCCATCCTGATTTATTGAGAAATAGGTTAAGGATGTTGGATGAAAGCAGTAAAAGAAGGTGTTGTATGGAAGTATATAAATGGATGGATGGATGGATGGATGGATGGATGGATAGATAGATAGATAGATAGATAGATAGATAGATAGATACATACATACATACATACATACATACATACATACATACATACATACATACTCCCCCCACAGA